TCCTTCTCCTTCTCCTTCTCCTCCACCCTATCTTTCACTTTATCCTCCAGTTCATCCACATCAGTTTTCACTATATCATTCACTTCATCCTCATCGCCCTCCATTTCATCATCGAGTTCGTCAGCATTTCCCTCCACTTTACCCTCCACTTTACCCTCTGCCTCATCTGCATCACCTTCAGCTTTATCATGCACCTCATCCACATCACCCTCCACTTCTATCCTTTACCTCGTGTACCTCATCCTCCACCAGGCCGTTCGTTGATGGAGAGGCTGCTCGGGGAGAACACCGGAGGGACGGAGGGCAGCATGGGAGAAGAGGAGGAGGGGGGGGACAACGGCCAGACGCAGGTGGAGGGACAGGATTTTGAGATCAACAACAGGTATGGAATAGGATATGTCAGGGGTAGGGGATGGGTGTGGGGCGTGGGAGGGGGGAGGGGCAGGGGAGGAGGAAGAGGCAGGGGAGGGGGGAAGGGTAGGGGAGGAGGGAAGGGTAGAGGACAGGTGAGGGGTAGGGGATGAGGGAAGGGTAGGGCATGGGTGAAGGGGAGTGTGGGTGTAGGAAGGGTGTCATGGGGGAGGGGGATGTGCAGGGACGGATGGAGGAGGCAGAGGCATATGTGCCCTCTCTATGTTGGATCTTTAATGAACCCATCAGCAAACGAGTGACTTTCACAGTATGATTCTAAAAGGTCACCAAAATTTGAAGGCTGTTCATGATGCAAGGCCCCAAGCTATGTTTTATTTAGCCGACACTTAAATCCAACCACAGTGAAGATTGGGAATGAAAGGAGGAGGGAGGAGGCTGTGTTAAAGGGGCAGGTTGTGATGTCTTTGTATGTTATTATATTTCATTTTATATACAAGGGGGAGTATATATTGTGGTTTTTGTTTTTCATTTCATTTAGGTTGTTAGTTCCATCCTGTTAGAAGCAGTAATTATTAATCATTAATTGATCTTTTATGTCTAGAAAAAAATATAATGCTAATTCTTGTTTCCAGGTTTTGGTACCACCTGTTCTCGCTGGCCACGGCCCTGGGGGGTGAGCTCTTCTACTCTATCTTCTTCTGCTTCTGGGCCTGGAACGTGGATGGGGCTGTGTTGCGCAGGGTCATTGTCATATGGATGATCACCATGTATATCGGTAGGTGCTGCGGGTGAAGGGAGCGGAGAGTGTGCTGAAAAAGGGGGAGGGAGTGAGGGGAGGGAGGAAGAGATGGGAGAAAAGAAAGATAAAAGATAGGAGAAGAAGTGTAATAGAAAGGAGGAGAAGCGATGGGAGAAAAGAAAGGTAAAAGAAAGGAGAAGAAGGGTAATAGAAAGGAGGAGAAGCGATGGGGGGAAGGGAGAAGAGGTGAGAGGATTAAATAAGTAGAGAAAATAATATAAGCTGTATATATTGGAATAAAGGAGAAATGGAGCAGAGCAGCTGGCAGATTCAGATTCTCTCGTGTTAACCCGTAGTTGGTGATTTAGTACAAGTGTTGCCATCTATGTGTAAAAACAATCAAACAATAACTCACAGTGGGCATAGCACATACGTACACGTCCTACCCGTCAGCACTGGGTTAAAGCTGTAATAGCAGTTTTAGTGCTCTGTTAATAGCGGTAATGGCACAACACTAATTTTGGTACGAATGATGATGACAGTATTAGAAGAAAAATAAAAAATCCTAAAAATTTAGGCATTAGGCTTACCAGAGTGGCCACTTCGTCACTTCATCAGGATCATAGAGGTTAGGGAATGGGGTAACATTTGAGGTCAGTTTGGCCTAGTAATTGACTCCTTGGCCAGTAAGTGCTTGTAGAGCTATTTTTCTATTAACAAAATTAACCCCTTGCCGATGGGGATGTACGTACATGCCATGCCCACTGTGAGTCAACTTGTTTGATTGTTTTTACACATAGATAGCTACATTTGTACTAAGTCACCAGTGAGCCAATTACAAGGACTGCCTGTCTTGCCCGTTTACCCTTTTCGTCGTTTTACGAAAATATTTAATATTATCCTAATTTGCTGTTAACCCATTGCTACCAGGGAAAATGAACAAAAAATGGGGAAAATGCTGTGCCTATTTTCTATATTTTTGTGAAATGTCTGCCCATAGATGGCTCTGCTAGTGTCTGATTTGAAATAGCGGGAAAACGTATTTTTCACTAGTGCTATGAATATCGATGATGTTATTTTTATGATCAACATTATAATTACTATAATGTTATAAACATTTGTGACAGCAAAATAAGATAATGTTAAATATTTTTGTAAATTGATGAAAAGGGTGAACGGGCGAGACAGGCGGTACTCGTAACTGGCTCATTGGTGATTTAGTATGTGTAGCCATCTATTTGTAAAAACAATTAACAAAGTAGTGCATATACCTGGTACCAACGGGGTAATTAGACACATCACAGGGGACAAATCCTCTTTTATTTTATTCTCCAGGACAAGCACTCAAGGACATCCTGAAGGTCCCCCGGCCTGCCTGCCCCCCTGTGGTGAGGCTGGACCCCAAGTGGGCTCTGGAGTACGGCCTCCCGTCCACACACGCCATGGTGGGGGCTGCCATGCCCTTCTCCATCCTCATCCTCACTCTCAACCGGTACCAGGTGAGTAGTGGTTTGTGTATATGGTAGGTTAGATATATAGATACATACATGCCTACATACATACACTAATACATGCATACATACATACACTCATACATACATACAAACATACATAAATACAAACATACATAAATACAAACAAAAATACATACATACATTCATACATGCATATATACATACATACATACATACATACATTCATAGATTGATACATATATTTATATAGGTACATTTGGTAAGTAAATATATTTATATATTTATTTATTTTTATATATATATATATCGCTATATCTGTAAATATGTATATGTATATTCCTCCTTACCATTTCCTCCTCGTTTGACGCCTTTCCCCTTCGCAGCTGGACTGGGGTTGGGGCCTCGCCATCGCCACAACCTGGTGCCTCCTCGTGTGCCTCTCCCGGCTGTATCTCGGCATGCACAGTGTGCTGGTCAGTTGCTTTGTTGCTTTTTATTATTGTTGTTGTTGTTGTTGTTGTACTCCTTGTTTTGTCTTTGCTTCTTTTTCTCACTCTTGCCAACCTGTCTCTCACTTTCTATATATAGAGAGATATATATAGATATATATATTGTCTTCATTGTAATATATATTTTAATAACAATTTGATAATCATAATATCAATAAGAATAATAACAATGTTAGTATTAGCCCATTCGCCCCGGATTTATGTTCTGTCCCCTGAAGTTTTTGGTGAATTTTGTTACATACAGATGGCTCCACATGTGCTCAACTGGCAAGGAGTCTATCAGTAGGTCCTAGTTACCGACCCAGATTTTCCCATTCATTGAATTGGCGGGAAAATTAATACCATTGCTATCGATACTGTTATTATTGTTATT